ACAGGCTGTCTCTATATATGGACCAAACTGAGCCATGGACTATTGGTTGCTGTAGCAGGTAAAGAGGAAGTAGCACCATTACATAGTATCCCAGTATCCTCTGAACAAGTAGGCCAGGACAAGGTATTATTTTCATTTTCAGTGGATCAGGTCAACTTGACCTTTGACAAATGGTCACATTTTTTTAAGTTTATTTATTTATTTTGAGAGATAAAGAGAGTAAGCAGGGGAGGGACCGAGAGAGAGGGAGACAGAGAACCCCAAGCAGGCTCCATACCGTCAGCACAGAGCCTGATGTGGAGTTCAATCTCATGACTGCAAGATCAAGACCTGAGCAGATATCAGGAGTTAGATGTTTAACCAACTGAGCCCAGGTGCTCCAAAGTGGTCATGTTTATTAACATTTAGTGTGCAACATATGATTCTATTTTGATCAAGTCCCATATGAGAATGATCAAAGAAGTTAAGGGGAAAAATAATCTCTATTCCTCTTGCCAGTAAAATATGAGTTTCTTTATAGTTCCTAGAAAATGTTTAGATCACAACAGGGGGTTTATTTCCTGGTGTGAGAAAAACAACCTATTTTATTATTACAAATACAGAAAATAAAAAAATATATGTTAGATTCTTTCCTAGAAATACTGATATACAAGCAAATTCTATAGTTTTCCAATTTCTTGCTAACTTCCAAGAAAATAATATTTAGGCTTTTGTACTCTAGGCACACAATTAGTTTGAGAATTTCCTTGATATAAGTAAATATTTCACAAAATATATTTTTATAATTGAAGCATAATTCAACTTCAGGTGATAAATTTATCCTAAAAGACATCAATGATATGTTCGTATATCCCAGTAGTTGTCTTATTTTAGGAAATGATGGCATTACTTATAATTAAAGTTAATAATTCAAAAATACTCAAATTTGGGGCAGAAAGTCAGAAGAAAAGGTAGGAACAGGGAGAAGAAAAGAGAGAGAGAGAGAGACCTCATGTAGATAGATGTTTTTGGAAACTGTGGATCACAGAGCAAAGGTGAGATATGTAAAAATGGAAGATTTAATCTGGAATACACATGCTGCTGAGGTCACCTGAACATAAGATATACCTGAAGGGTGGAGGCTATCCACAGGAGAGGGCCAATAACAGGACAATGCTTATGTCCCAAGGATTAAGTAGAAGCGAAAGGCTTCCAAGGGGCCCTAGACTGAATCAGATGAATGTGACTGCTGAAGTAAGTATAAGGGGCCACAGGACAGAAGAAACCATAACTAAAACCAAATTTGCTTTTGAAAGACATTTTCTTAATATGGCCTTGGGAGGTTGGTCAGTTTCCTCAACTGCCCAATTCACTGTCAAATCTCAAGAGTTTGATGCTGGGCCTCAAACATAAAAAATGGGAAATCAGTCACCGTGAAAATGACATAAAGGCCATAGTGAAATCTGATGAGTCTCGGTCCCAGTAATTGTGAATCAAAGGGAAGCAAAGTAATCGCAAACTTTACAAATTGTTAATTCTGTTGAAGACAGTGGTTACTACAATGGCAATGTTGATAAATTATCCAAGTATAGTCTATTCTGTGATACACATCTGAATCCATTTTTCTGTTTCACTAAACATATGACACATTTTTCTCTGTCAGTTTGGTTTACCCACTTCTGTTGCTGAAACCTGCTAAGGAAGGACAATGATCTACCCTGGTCATACTAAATAGTGCCCCAAAGAATATTAACAGTACCTACCCATTGTTGAAAATAGTAAATATGATAATGCCTATAGAACATTTAGCACAGGTCAGGAACATATAATATGCTCACTGAGTATTATTGCTAATAGCAATACTTAGGATATTTAAAGGAGATATATTGTCTCCTTTTTACAGAGAAGGAAATTAAAGCTCAGGAAAATTAAGTTACCTCATCAGTTCTGTAGGGCTAGTTAGTGACAGAAATAGGAGTGAAGTCCCTGTGTTCTTCTTTCATTTTTCCTACTTGCCTGCAGGGGCTGTGGCACTGTGGATAGAAGCAACTGTCTTATCAAGGGCTGGCCTGTATGGGGTTGGATTGTTCATCTCAAATTTGGGAATGAAAAATAGGAAAATAGGCAAGAACTTGCCGGGAAACAGTTTCTGGGGTTGGATTCAAGTCAGAGAATTCTAGGAACCAGTACTTATTTAAATCTGATTTTTGAGGTCTTTGTTATAGTAAAATGTTATTTTAACAAAAATATACTTGATAAATGTGAACTCTAATAAAGTTTTTTTTCAACTTGTTAAAATTTTTAGTACTTATAAAATAATCTACTCTTAGGAATTATTATCCAAATCCATTTAGTTTGAGAATTTTTTCAGGATGATTTTAGCTTTGTAGGTAGGTAAAAGTTGATATTTCTTTTTAAGTCAACTCAACTTGTGATACTTTTTAAGGAAGAGATTGATTGTAAATAGAGGAGGATCTCACTCACACAGCTGGGATGATAGCATTTAGACTTTGACACTTCAATCCAACCAATATAACTCTCAGAAAGCACTCTCAAAACAATAAAGCTAATAAACAGTTGAGGCATCTAAGATGGAGACTCTTCATACCATGTAGAATCAAAACTGAAGAATTCTCAAGAAGTTACTCAATGCAAAGAAGGAAATTGGAAGAGAAAAGAATGTGGGGAAATTATTCTCAAACATTGCCAATTAAGCATTCTAAGTTTGACCAAAATAGAAGATGATCAGTCTCAGAAGAATGCAAAAAAGGCCATGAACTCTGATTTTTAATCAGTAGACAAGCATTGAAAAGAAATAACTCAAAGAAAGAATAGCTCAGAATATTAATTGCTTGGAAGAAGTATGTCCAAGGCTGATATTTTCCATGGAAAGAGAATAGAATGATCTGTCTTCTTCTGATCCAGAGACATTCCCACACATTGAATTTCTCATGAAATAAATGACAATAGTGGAACCTTACCAAAAATCAAATTAAAATAGGTATTTGGCTGAATTTGAGCCAAAATCTGATATCCCATTTCAGCCAAATACTTTCAGTGAAATCTCTTGAGAGCCAAATGTTCTTTGAAGCCAAAAGACTATATTTTTGCAAATTACTATAACTATGTATAAATAGGATGACCATATAATTTATCATCCAAACAGGGACATTTTTAAGTGAAAGGAGATGCTGATGATAATAATGCCGGTAAAATAGGCACAAACTCAGATGGTTCTGGAGAAATCAGGACATATGATCACCTTATATATAAACCATTCTTGTGTAATAGATTATGATTAAGCTTCGTACAAATGGTAGTGAGAAAAATATAGGAGGATACTTAACTGAAGTAAAAACTCTAGGATTATAGTTCACCAGTTAGTTAAGCTTGCATCTTAACAGTATTGAAGATATTCCTAGCTAATTTATTTCAAAATTTTCTAACAATTAAAAATACTTAAACAATTATAACTTGAGTATATAGAACCTTGAAATCGCAATTATGCTCCTTGCTTATTCCTTGGAGTAGAAATTAACTAGTACTTTGTCCTTAGCTCTTATATGAATGTGCATTTGTATGCCCACTTCTGCTGATTATGCATTAGTGGGTTTTTCACTTTTGTCATTGTGGAGAGAGCAACAAAGGCCCCTTAAGCCTTCAGGCCAATCTTTGATAAAAGTAATTTTACAGGGAAGAATTGTCTCTTTTTTTAAACTTTGGTTAAAAAATAATATTATGGCCAGAGGGATCAATTAGCAAATTAAGTGCAAATATATTTCTCTTTTTGAGAGTTTAGATGATGATGATGATGATGATGACGATGACGACAATAGACGATTCTTGGTATCCCTTCTGCACCACCTATCCCTCCCCCCAAAACACACACACACCAATTCCCTATCTCCATATATGGAACCACAACCCACCCACTTCTTGCTCAGCCCCACACAGGACTCATAATTGATATCTTCTCCTCACAAATTCCTCACATCTCATCTGTCCGCAGGTCTGTAGGTTCTACCCCCAAAGCACATCTTGAATGTGTCCACTTTTTTCCACTCATACTACACCAGTCCAAGCCACTCACCCTTGCTGCCACCTGTTTTCTTGCCACCCACAGACACAGTAATCTTCTAAAAAATGTAAAGAATATCATTCAATTCCCTGTTTAAGTTCTTCAATTGCTTCCCACTGCACAAGAATAAAATAGCGCTTTTTGTCGTGGTTGACTGGGCCCTATAGGAGCTCATCTCCTGGCGATTTCTCCTCTTCTCACAATAATCCCACCTCACTGGCTTACTTTCTTTTCCCTGAGAGTTCTGCCCCTTCTTGACACAGGGCCTTGTCTCTGATGCTTTCTTCAGCTTGTAACATTCTGTGCTCAGTGATTCTTAGGCTGGTCCCTTCTTATCCTTCAAATCTCTGCTCATGGGACCCCTTTTTAGGACTCCCGTGACTACCTATCTGCCCACAATGTACTCTATTATCTCTGGTAAGTTATTTTCTAGAGCAATTATAGTCCAACTGTTCTTGTGTGTTTATCCATGCCCTCTCTCCTCAAACTGCATTGTAAGCATCTAGGGCAGAGGTTAACAAACTTTTTCGGTAAAGAGGCAGACAGTAAATATTTCTGGTTTGGCAGGACATATGCTCTTCCATTGTAGGATAGAGACAGCTATGGATAATACTTAACCTATGAATGTGGTTGTGTTGTAATAAAACTTAATTCAGAAAACAGGCTTCTGGCTGTGCTTGGCTCATGGGCCATAGTTTGCCAAGCCTCTCTAGGGCCAGTACCTTATATGCATTGTTTCCTCCCATATCTTCAGTGCCTAGCACAAAGCAAGTACACATATTCACAACCTTTTGTCCTTAACAAAATCCTGGAAGGTAAGTATTATTATTTTCATTTTATAGATTAGCTCAGTGAGATTTACTAATTTACCTAAGCTCAGAATAAATACTGTATTAGTTTCTTTGGGCTACAGTAACAAAGTACCACTGACTGCAGAAACATCTTAAAATGATAGAAATTTATTCTCTCACAGTTATGGAGAAGTTCAAAACTACAGTGTTAGCAGGGCTGTGCTTTCTTTGAAGTCTGTAGAGAAAAATCCTTCTTTGCCTCTTCTAGCTTCAGGTGGCTCCTGGCATTCCATGGTTTGGGGCAGCATCACTCTATTCTCTGCTTCTGTTTTCACATGGCCATCCTCTCTCTGTGTCTCTCTGTGTCTCTCTGTGTCTTTTTGTGGCTTCCTTTCCTGTATGTGTGTGCCATCTCTCCTGTTATGAGGACACTACCCATTGGATTTGGGACTCATCCTAATACAGTATGAACTCATTTTAGCTAATTTCATTTGTAAAGACCCATTACCAAATGAGGTCACCTTCTGAGGTTCTGAATGAATGTGAATTTGGGGTGGGGAGAGGGAGTATTAAACCCACTACAATTCTCAAATGGTAGAGTAAGGATTTGAACCTGACACCACTTCAATGATTTTCCACTTTGAAGTTATAATCTCGGCTATTAAGTTAAATTAGCAGTTAACAGTGGTGTCCAATTTTAGAGTTATTTTGAGAAATGATGATTTGAGAATATCAGTGGATAGCAGAACTAAGAAACTTACATTAGAGGAGCTTTGTCTAAGTCATTATTTCTGACTATTACTCAGACCATAAGTGTTGTCCTTCAGGGCATCTAAGATATAGAGATTTAAGACATTAGGAATACAGATTTAAGACATTTCCCAAAGATATCATTGGTTGAGCAAGAGAATTACATTACAAGTTTCATGGTCTCTCTAGTTAACATCCTTGGATACCATGCTTGTAAGTCATGATTTTCCCCAAAGCTTTAGACAAAGCATGTTTTCCCCATGAGGGGAGAAAATGAAGCTCTCTTACAGTCCAAATACATTTGGGAAATACCAGGCCAAAGCAAGTAAAACAGATTGCTTTACTGCAGTAAATAATTGCTTCATAGCATGCTTTATTTGTTAAGGTGGCTTATGAATTTCTAAGAGGGAGGTATTGTGTACATTTTTCTAAGCTTATTGGACATTTTTGTAAACTACCTTCAGAAACTAATCATCTGTGCCACACACTTTGATAAACTACTTTGGGTGTTTGCTTGCTTATCTAAGCACAGATAAGGTCTACTTTTCTGAAAGTAAATCTGTACAAATATACTTCTTTGGATTTTGTAAATTGGTTTTGAACCCCTCCATAATGGATGAGATTCCTGACAGGAGAGACACTGATGGGTTGTACCATGGCACTTACTAATTTATTGGTCAATTCATTTACTCCTTTATTCATTTATTTACTCACTGATTTCATGTGCACTTGTGGAGCCCAAGGTAGTAGCTATGAACATAAAGATTATCAAGACCAGAAGTCTTTTCATTAAGTCATTCAGATAATACACGTCAATCACTATTTCCCAAAGTAATTCTAATAAATGAAAACCACTTGTATTAGACTGAATTGTCCCTCTAAAACGCATATGTTGAAGCCCTAATCCCTAGTACCTTACAATGTAAGCTTTAGGACTTTAAAGAGGTTAATTAGATTAAGTGAGGTCATAAGGGTAGGGCCCCAATCCTATAGGGATAATATCTTTATAAGTAGAGGGAGAGATAGTAGGGATGGGCCTGCACAAAGAAGAGGCCATGTGAGGACACAGCAAGAAAGTGACCATCTACAAGCCAAGAAGAGGCCTCAGTAAAAATCAATCCTGCCAACATTTTGATCTTGTATTTCTAGCCTCCAGAACTGTGAGAAAATAAATTTCTGTTGTTTAAGCCACCTAGTCTGTGGTGTTTTGTTACAGCAGCCCTAGCAAGCAAAAATACCACTGTTAATTGTTTATTAGGCCTCTGCCTTCAAGAGCTTTATTTAGCTAGCTCTGATGTCTACTGAGGACTTACACTTCCTCTATTTGTATTTTAGAAGAATTTCAAGAGGTCAATTTGATTATAAACCTCTTGAGGACAAGGCCTTTGTCTGTTGCATGTCTACACTGACTAGCAGAGAGACAGGCATTTTATAGAAGGAGTATATCATTCACATCTCAAACTCCTCTCTGTACGATGATAATTGAGAGATGGCCTAATAAATCTCTTGGAGAGAGCAAGAAATAAAAGCAAGAGAACTATTAAGTGTTAGGCCCATAGCTAGATAGTTCAAATATACCTTTCCATTTAATATTTCTCTTCTATTTTGAGGCAAATATCTTTAGCCCATTTTTCCAATGAGAAAACAGAAGTTCAGAGAGGATAAGTGATTTTACCAAAATCATGAAAACATTGGAAGAGCCAGAATTCAAACTCACTTTTCCCCTGATGGAAACAAGTAAATTTTTTTTTAAATGACAAAAAGATGATTAGAATGTTTTCATCAATTGCTTAATTAGAGGAAAGAGAAAATCTGGCTAGGCATCAGCACTTACGAAAAAAGTTGGAAATTTTAGTAGACTATGTTTATTTCAGTGACATCATAACTGACATGGCTACCAACAAGTTAGGCCAATATTAAGTTGTGCAAATAAAAGTAATGATTATAAAGCACTTGCTAAGTGCCAGATATGCTTCTTTGTTCTTTATATGTATTCTTGAAACTGATCTTCAGGAAAAGTAGTGAAAAGACATGAGTGTGTCCAGAGGCAGTGCCAGAATGATCAGACTTGAAATTATGCTACACAATTACTGGTTGGATAAACTGGCAAGGTTTACTCTGAAAGAAAAAATAAAGATGACATGATAGCCATCTCAAATAGTTGAAAGATTTTCAGGTAAAGAGAGATCTAGACATAGGAATAGAATTAAGAGGTAGGGAGTCTTCCATTCCTGAGAGTATTCAAATAGAATGCATTCACAGAAGATCAAGTACTTAAACTCAAATTCCCTAAACTTGAAGATTATAGGACTTTTAGGATTCATAAAAAATCACCATCTTCTTCTTCATTAACAAAGTTAGACTTGGAGAAAAAAATACATATGTATCAGTGCTAGATCCTTTCTGGAACTAAAGAAAGAATTCTCCAGGAGAGACACATATCAATTCTGTCATCACCATTTCTAAGAGAGATACTCACTAGGAAACTGTTGTTCAATTTGTACTCTTCTCTATATTGATTCTTTTCTAATTGTATTAACAAAATTCAGTCTCTGGTTTTCAAAGCCTGTAACAATGCCTGTTTTGAAGGGATTGTCTATTTATTTTTGTCTTTATCAGCAAGAGAAGCTCATCCTTAATGCCTATCATTGGGCCAAGCATCAAGCAGAAGCTTCTTACAGTAAGATGTGGTTGGGCGTTTTTTCTTATCAGGGATCAGTCTTTCTCGAGAAGTACCTACAGTGGCTGAGAAGTGAGTACATGATGATCATGAGCATCATTAGAGGAATTCAAGTAGATAATCCATTTGCGAGCACCAGAGAAGTGCGGTTATGTGATGCGATGGGGCTACCCGGAGCCCCAAATGACAAATTAAATAGTTGTCAGGTTGTGGGGCATCGTAAGGGGGAATGAGGATAAATTGCAGAACGGTCCCACTGAGGATGGGTCAAGAAAGACACCGCATACAATGGACCCAGAAAATCCAAGCTGTCGGAGGTGTGTATCAAAATTATGTAAAAAAAAAAAAAAATAAATAAAAATAAAAAAATAAAAAAATAAAAAAAAATCACGTTGTTGTTGCTATGAACACTTGACTAGTAAATGTGAAATATATCGTATCAGGAAAAACAACGCGTCCACAGGGTGTTCCATCCAGCTGTTCAGAACATCGTGGGTGCCCAAATAGTATTAACGCTCCACGATGAAGATGGTAGCGAGGATGATGATGATTAATGCAATCCAAGGGAAAATAGGGCTGGGGAGGATGACACAGACGAGAGACCAGGAAAGGGAGGATGACTCACGGGTGAGGGGTACCTGGGGATAGAGCGATGGGGCGTGCACGTTGGCGAGCGTGGGGGGAGAGGCTGGGGCACGAGTGGCTCTGACCTGGGGTGTGGGGGGGGGGGTGCCCGTGGGCGGAGCGGCTCCGGGACTGAGTGGCTGGCAGCTATGTCTGCGAGAGCAGCAGCATCACCCGGGAGCGAAGCCTCCGAGACTCCGCCTAACTGACACCCAAAACTCTCCCTCTCCCTGCTGCAGCCCCAAACTGGAGGCAGCCGAGCCTGGGAGCAGCCTCGGCGGCGGCGGCGGCGGCGGCGGCGGCGGCGGCGGCGGC